GATTAATAACATTTGCTTTGCTAAAACAGAAGTAAGAAAAGCAACAAGACTTAGGACCCGAGTCTGACATAAGGTCTAGTCTGAAGTAAGCCCTTGACAAAAATAAAACACAAGCAAATTTCAGTCACAAGAATGCAACAGTAGGAAATGGCTAATAGACAAAGTACAAGTCAGTTAACTGGTATGAAGCAAGAAACCACAAAACAAGTCATGGATATTTTAGAGAGATAGAAGAACTAACAATTGCAGCAATACAACCACAGTTGACATAAGCACTAATAATTGTAAAGTAGAAGAAAAATCAAGCATCTGGAAGCAAAAGCCCTAAAGAACTTACAGAAAATGAAGAAAGGAAGCATATATTCCAAAATATACAAGTATGTATAAACACCAAGCAAGCACACCACCCTATTGCCGATTCTTTCCAAGATAGGAGTGGTTAACTTGCTGTCAGCACTTTCTCCAAGGACTGAGAATGGTATGTATGTCAGTCACATTGTATTACTTTCTTCTTTTCTGATATATTAGAGTTGTGCTGCATGATTTGGACCTATAAATAAAGTTAGCTCGTATCAGTCTAATCTCAGTTGTGTGCCTTGTGTGGTGGGGAGGGGGATTCCTTAATCTATTGTAATCTATGGTAGCTGCCATAAGGTAAACCACATCAGGGAGCCATAGTAAATAATTCAGATGAACAGCAATAATCCAAATTATGATTTAGACTATGGAGTGAATTCTGGAAAACCTGCAAGATCATTAAGAGCTATAACTTATTTTTCCCCATTTACTTGAACTATTAAGGAGAGAGGAACTACATTGTAGTTGCTAAAGCATAGACCTAACACTTGAGAGTAGAATCCTGTTCCTCGCTATCATCTGAATAGAAATTGTGAGCCAGGGGGAAGGCAGGGGGTGTTAAAGAAAACTAGCCAGTCCCCACCCATCCATGAAATACTTTGCTGTAATGTAGTATCCATTGCTATTAGCTATTCTATCCCATTATGGACTCAGGCCAACAAAGCATTCAAGCAGATGCTCAACTTAAAGCATAATTCCATTGGCAGCAATGTGGAGTCACAAATATGCATTTTAGGGCATGGGTAAGTGAATCAGGGCCTAGTTCATGAATCTCTCCCACTTTCGAACAGTTGGGTGGAAGATCCACTCATTCATTCATTACTGGAAAATCACAGATTACTGGAAAGATACATATACAGGAGTCTGATAGACAGGTGAGCTAGAAGTCCAAACATCATGGTTCCAGTCTTTACTTTACAGACTCAAAATACAATCTTGGTCAGGTGAGTTACAACTTTAGCCGTCATTTAGGGAACAGGTAAAACATCCAAGGATTGAAATAATTGGTTTTATAAAAAAATTTTCGTTTGGTAGTCAAAGAGCTGAAGAGCATATACTCCCGTTCAAGTTGAAGACATTAAACACCAAATAGGATAGGGCTCCAAAATAATTTTTTTAATTATTATTATTGATGTAGCAAATATGGATTAGTCCCATGGCATGCTAGAACCAGAAGGGAAAGCATTATACCAAATAGGCCCAGACATATTGGTGTCAATGTATGCAGGTTAGCATAATACACCCACACCCCACATCTTTGGAAAACAGAGTATAGAGGAGACTTTTGTCCAGTCATGGCCACCATGTGACAGATGAGTTCTCCTGGAAACAATGTGCAGGAATTGTGGCATCCCAGAAGAAAGTCTGTGTGAGGGAAGGAGGAACTTCTTGTTATGGCAAGACAGCAAGAAGCCTGTAACTTATTTACTGCAACTAGTTCTTTATATACACAATACTGTAAATAGTGTTGCTTCCACACCACAAGCCTCATCAAGATACCACCCCACTTAATGTGGTAGCTCTTTCAGCTCAATGGCTCTTTGGCCAAAAGCTACTGCCTCACCAGCAGTTGCAAGAAAGCCAACACTGGACTCCCCTCTCCCTGCTGATTGCTGCCCCATGAGAAGTGGCAGTCATTTTGGCATGCTAGAGGTTTTTCTTCTTTCCTGCTTCTACTCCAGCAAAGAAAAATCAACTACCCCTCTTAATATACACTCCAATTTTGGAGGACTAAATTTGCAGAGGAAAAGATGCATGTGGTATGGGAGTACATGCAGTTGTTAGGAACTCCCTATCCCAACCCAAAGAATATATAATATGTTACAGGACAGTTCTGAAGTCTATATGCAAAGCAGTGGATTTAGATCAATGAATCCCAGTCAGGATGTTGCAGCACCCTGGAGTGCCAGTAAATGCTTGAGGACATAGGGCACTGCTCAGTATTAGCACTACTTGGTGTGCAAATATGAGTCATAGGATAAACCCAGATATTTCAAATAGGAACTGATGGTGTCAAAAACATTCTGACCTGTTGTGGTCTGGGTTCTTTGCAATAGAAGAATTGCTCTATTATTTTTCTGTAGTCAGAAAACAAATGAAAGTTTAGAGCTAACATTTTCCAAAAGGTGCCTTGAGTCTAAGAAGGTTGAGGCCCACAACTAGAATAGCAGATGGAGTATAGGCCAGGACTAAACAGTAACTGAAGCAGCACAGAAGTGGGAGAACTCTGCCAACTTTCCCTTGAACTCTGTAGTTTCTACTTTATTATTGGTGGGAACACGCCATACATTCACATTGGTGTAATTTACACTGCTTTGTAAATGAATATAAGTTACACTGGTGTGCAGAGTAGACAAATGACTAGCTTTCTGAAAGTATTTACTTTCTGGAAGTAGCACTTTATTCCAGGTATGAAACTGAGGGGAGTTATAAATACACAAGTGTGAACCCCTTTTTGTACGTCACACTAGTTTATAATGATTCCCAAGTTTCTAGGAAAATAGGAGTGGTTTGTGACCCACATCAATGAAGGTTTGTACTCAACATTTACACTAATAGAAAAACAGATTACACCATATAGACAATGTGAGTGTGTCCATACCCGAAGTCTTGTGTTTAAAATTCCCTACAATATCCCTGAAAGGAACAGGCAGTTCCCACTGCAAATCAGAAGACAGGATAAATTCTGAGTAGCAACCTGTGGGCCTCCTGCTCACCCAGTAAGTGAACAAGCCAGTGGGTTCCCAGATAATTTAAAATACTGTAACTTACCTGCCCTGGAGCTGGGAGCAAGATGTCTTGGATCTCAACTCTCCACTCCAGTCTCACTGTTTTGGAAGCACCTGCTGGGAGGTAGATAACTCAAGGAAAACAGATCCCCAGAACACCTGATATTTGATTTTAGCTGTCTGTACATACAACAAGAAAATTAGCTAAGACATGGGCAGCACCCCACCCCTTTCCCCCCCATGCCTCTACTGCTAGTGCTTACACACACATGTTCAAAACTAACCCATTTAGTCCTTCACAGTTCAAAGCATTCAACTGAGGATCTTGCTTGCATTCAACTGAAGAAATCTGGCAGTTAACAGGTAAGCATGCATGAAGTAGGCACATATGGTATGCTTTAATATCCAAGAGGGGACATGGCCATGCAAGCGCTTGCAAGAGCTACATGGTTAGGCAAGTCCAGAGTGGTACAGTGTGGAGGCTGAAGCATTTGGCACATTTCTGAGAGACAGTAGTGTTTGATGCCTAGGCTCAGCACCAGGAGTCAAGTACTGGCCTTTGCAAGAGAGAAACAGATCAAGTCCAGGCAGCTATTTGGGGACTTTTAGCAGCCTGATCACAAAACTGCTTGCAGGTGTAAGGGGAAGTACTAAACAAGCAACCCTCACCAAAATGAGAGCTTAACCTTTCCCAGATCTGACAGTTATTAAATAGGATTTCAAATAGAGAAATTAATCTGGAGTGGAGGCTTGTCTTGACAGTTATTAGCCCCCCTTCTCTTCTTCCCCAACCTCCACCCTTTTTGAGTGGCAGTGAACTCTTCAGTTTATGCCCCAATGCCCAACAGAATTAATAAGGCACAGAAGTATCTTACTCAACCATTCCTATTCACACCATGCCTTTGTTACCAGGGGTTTTGTGGTTAGGGAGCTATAGCTGGTCATGTTTCCATGCCAGCAAACTGCTTTTTTGAACAGCTGCTTTACAACCCCTTTACACTAGCTGATTTGGCATGAAGTAGACTGGAGATATCAAGCTTGATCACCCTCACAAGCCAGATCCAGACAGTAGGGCTCCTTGCATAGCCAGCACTCATACCCTACCCCCCCATGGCCAACACACATGCCAATTGCTTGTAATAAGGCAGCAAACCATATCCCTGTGGACCAAATCTTTGACACCCATGAGGTAGGCATAACCCATATGTAACCTTACACAAGTATTTCTATACAGTGTCCAGTATGTTTGAGCAAGTTAAGTAACAGAGGTCTAGTGTTTATATGACGGTAGGTTGTTATCAACAGTATCCAAGTACTGAAGGATTAAAATATTATTCAGGCTACTTTAAACATAAACATGAAAAAGACGCTTCTAATTTTAACTTAGTTTGCTTTCTGGATGTTGAATCATTTTATTTGTGAGGAACGTCACCCACGCTGAACATTTTTCAAATAGATCTTATCAAGGAAAGCGGAAATTTCTCCTCCCCGTGTCCTACAATGAAGCAGGACTGGCACAAAATAAAAAGAAAAAAAAACTCATCACACCTGGGAGGTTTTAGCACCAGCGTCCATTAAAAAAGCATGGGACTTAAAAATTTCATTTCTTTGGTTGGGTCTTTTCCCTTTTCTTTTTTCAGTCTGATACCAGAAGAAAATTTGAAAAAAAATACTAGAAAATGATGAAATTCTAAGAAAAAACCCTGCAGTTGCCGCTGAAGCTGGGGAGGTCGCTCTTTCTGAATCTCGCTCTCTTTTTCTCTCCATTCATCTTTCTTGCAGGCGTTCCCTGGATCTCAGCTGCTGGTATATTTTAGTTATTTCTTTTAAGTTTGAAGGTTTTAAATCTGGTTTTCATTGTTGTTCTCATTTTATTGCTTGGATGTTTCTTTGGTGGTGGTTTTTTTTTTTTTAAATTACACTTTAGGACACCTATAAAACAGCCAAAAAACAACACACACCACAAAAATTATTAATTTTGTCAAATATTCTCCCTTCATCAGTTCCTAGAACGTTTTATTGCTATTCTACATTACGACTTTCAACCAAAATTAAAGTACAGACACAAACACCATAGCATAAATAGAGCCATCTAAGCATGGCTTATATCCATGCACAACTTTTGCAGTTAACAGCATGCTTGCTGTCCATGTTAAAGGCCTTGTTCAGCACATGGCTACATTTTTAAACCAGTTCATCATCTTTATTTTACTCTGGAAACAGGATCCCCAGAAGTGACTGGCTGAATTTTGTTCACCAAAAGTCTGGGAAGCAGAAGTAGTCCCAGAGTATTTCCCCACAAAAATGATAATACTGCTCTCTATGCAGAATCATTTTGGCATTCAAAGTGCTTATGGGAGAGTATTAAAATTACTCCCAGAAACTGCATACTGAGTCAAGTGTGGCAGGCAGAACAAACACCACTGATACAGTATTCACAACATGTATAAATCACAATTCATGGGGTTTTGTGACCACAGAACTTCAAGCCATTGTCATTCCCCAGCCAAAAAGATAGGTTTTTGTATGCTTTAGGATACAGATGATTCAAAATAAAGATATTTTGAAATTCACAGTCCTTCCCTAGTCCCTTAGATACAGAAAACCTGATTACTTTGAAATCTGAAGTCCTTCTATAGTACCTTGAAGCAAGAAAAGTTCTAAATACTTTTGTCCACCATTAAACTGCTGCCATAAGCGGCACATGCTCAGTTATAGGAACCAACTACAAAGTTGGTTAAATGTAGCCAGTGCTCAGCATGCCCAAAGAACACACAACACAAAGCCAAGGTCCATACTTATTGAAGCCTACCATAAAGGCAGGTTAGTGCAGCCCAGCGGAAGAAAGCATAGCACCCATTGCACTCCATCCCCCTCAGCAACAACTTCTTTTTTTCCAAGTCATGGTGAATCACAACTACATTTCAATTTACTCTTCACTTCCAGGGCTGAGCAATGCCTTTTTTCCCCTCATTTCCACTTATTCCCATTTATCAGCAAACCTCACCAAACTTTTATGTAAATGAGAGGCTCTGTCACTCCCTATCTCAGCCTGTTACATACGACTGGTGTAGCCCCGCCCTCTGTAAATATAACTTTTAGAAGTTCCCAGAACTTGACAAGAACACAGTTTCAGTAGCAAATGGGGGATGCTAATTAATACACAGACCCTGGTGGGAAGGGGCTGGAGGGGGAATACCTGGTGCACGCACACACACACACTGGATTGTCTGGTCACCATGGCTCGAAAATGACACTGCCTCTGCTTGGGCCCAGCCCCATGAACCACATTCTAAGAATTGCAAGCATTTTACCTCTGAACTAATATCTCATATAGCCTTTGCTATAGATGAATACACACACCTGACAAATACTTCTGTGTATTTGAGTACTTATGCTAAAACTTGGAACAGTATACAGAAAACAAAACTGAAACAATTATTATACAAGGGGATTTTCTGTTAATATTCTATTTAAAGCCTGCATGGCCTCTTGTACAACCAAATCTGTACACACTGTTGTAATTTTCAAATGTGCAAATTACTGTGGGCACATTTATTTCAAAGTTGCTGTTTTTCTGGTCCATTGCATTTCAGATGAATGGTTTCTCCGTACATGTTACCAATCAAAGTTCTGAATCACTCGATAAACCTGAAAGATCAAGTCCTGTGGCTGCAATTCAGTTCCACACCAATGGAGTTGCACTCAAGTTTATTTAATCTCTAAAGCTAAACCTCCAGAAATGTTTTCAGGACTCTTCTCAGCCAAATCTTTGCCCTCAGGCAGTTTTTCTTCCAGCCCTGTTCCTCGCTCCAAATCCCAGTTATCCTGTCTGATCTTACACCTCTGCGTGAGACCTAGATCTTCCTCCCATTTGAAGACTAGAACGGAGCGTGAAAAGAAGGAACATGTGAGCAAAGACAGGTGAGAGAGTCATGTGAGAACAGGGATGTGCTGCAATCCGAGGTGTAAAGGGGAAAAAAAAAATTCTCCATGAAGACATCCAGAACTAGGGGTGGACCCTGACCTCAAAGAGTTCTGTGCTAACCTAGACTGCTCGTCTGATATTTGCCATTCTTCCTGCACATAAGGATCCTTTGTCCCTGCTCCTTCTGTAAGGTTTCTTTTAAAACACCACGCCCCCGCCCACACGACTGGCCTCCCAGGGGATCCTGCCCATCAGTTCCCCGAGGGAATCAAAGTCTGCTTTTCTGAAGTCCTTGGTCCTTACTCTGCTGCTCTCCTTTGTTATTTTTTTAATCAGGATCCTGAACTCAAATACTTGTGGTCACTGCTGCCCAAGTTGCCATCCACTTCTGCATCACCTGACAGCATCCTCTTGGACACTGTAGCCAGGAAGTGTTGTTTGTTTGCAGTTGTGGAGCTCTAGCATGCAGCTCTCCTTTCAAGAAGCCTCATTCCTGTATGTTGCCCTGATTTTTTCCTGCTCCCCACCCCACAACATCCATGTGTCTTTCACTCTGGAATGGGTGCAGTTTCTTTTGCTTACTACGCTGGGGGGGGGGTGACAACAACAACAACAACAAAAAAACACCTTTTGTAGAATTTGTAATCCCTATGTAATAGTGTTGCCTATTAACTAGTGGTGGCAGATGACAGAATATGAAGCAATAGTCTCAAGTTGTAGCAAGGGAGGTTTGGGTTGGATTTTAGGCAAAACTCTCATTAGGAGGGTGGTGAAGCACTGAAACAGGTTACCTAGAGATGGTGAAATCTCCAGCCTTGGAGGTTTTTAAGACCCAGCTTGACGAAGTCCTGGCTGGAATGATTTAGTTGGGGATGGGTCCTGCTTTGAGCAGGAGGTTGAACTAGACCTCCTGAAGTCCCTTCCAGCTCTAGCTTTCTAATTCTAACTTGTTGGTAGCAACAGTTCTACCTCAATGCAGAGGGGAACAAGTAAGATGGCCAGTTAGTCACAGCTGGAAGGAAAACATTTCACCTAAGCCTGGGAATATACTTTATAAGCCTTACCTGATGGATGGTAAAAAGGTGTCTGGGGAGCCAAATGTTACTCAGCACCACTCTGCTCGGTCACTGGAGCAGGGTTCTCAGCTGGTGTTTCGGCCACCTTGGTCTGAAAAAAAATATTTAAGTAGGCGAAGAATGATTTCTACTACCCTTCTCAGGTCTATAGTGATAACACCACCACAACTTAGAAATTGTAATCCTACTACAGTTTTTTCATTTGGAAAGGACTTCCAATCACCCTCAACACACAAAGGGAACCTGCCATCTCATATAATAAGATACAGATATTTCACTAAGATGCTTGTGCTCTGTAGTTAGGTCCCCAAGACTGGACAATTCAAACAGAATGATAAATGGGATTAGAAGCCTCTTTTCCAAGGCATTCACTCAGGACAGCCACTTGCTTTTGGAAAGCGATGGCTAGTGAGAAGTGTGAAAGAGGTCCATCACCTCGAAAGGAGTGGTTCCAATCTGGCCTCAGTTCAAGATGATCAGTTAATTCATAAGATGGATGTTTAGAATCCTATGCAAGGTAGCTGGTAGTTCTCAAACTAGTTTCTAATTGGTGGTGACATCAAATAATCATCCTCACATTAAGCACCCTTCTTGACAGTCTGTTCCCTACAGCAGAGGTATAAGGCATATTATATGCCTGTAGCCACCAGCATGGCAACATACTGGGAAAAATCTCACTCAGTAACTCCCCCATTGTGAGAAATACCCTCACCACTTTGCCATCTTGAGATGGAGCGTTGGGTGGACGGGGACGACGCCGATAGTTATATGGACGACGGTAACCACGACGAGGTGACTGCTGGTTCACAGCATTGGCCTCATGCTGGTTCTCCTTGTTGTCAGCCTCTCCAGCCACTGGAGCAGGATGTGGACGTGGGGGCCCCCTGGGGAGAGACAGAGATACACATGAAAGGCAGAAGATTAAGTCACAGTACATGCCACTGAAAAACAAAAAGAATTTTCCCAACCAACAATGCTCAGCTAAACCATTTCCCCACTGAATGCTGGCAAACCAGTTTTAACTGGGTTCAATTGAGAGTCACAGAAATGAAGAAAAAAAACTTATTAAATCACCCAAGCTGCCTCCTTGGAACAAGTAAAGGAGAAGGACTTCTTAAGCTTTCTTTGCTGGCCACTAGACCATTCTTTCTGTTGGAAAAATCAAGGCAATGAAGTTGAATATGGTGAAGGAGACTCATTGTCCACCAATGAGATTCTGTCAACTGCTTGCCTTAAGCCATCCTGCTCCACTGCATCGGAGCCATAAAAGCCAATCCAGCTTTCCTGAATGGTTCAAACGGAAAACTTTAGTCCCTCTTGATTTATACTCAAGTAAAAAGAGGGTAAAATTCTGCCCACTGATTTCACACACATGTAAGGTGATTATAAATGAACCAAGGAAGGGAGAGAGGAAGAGGGCAGAGTAGGCAAAAATATTACCTGCCAACTTTGTGCAATGGACCCCAATTCCTGAGCCTTCCTAAGATGAGACGCCTTAACTCCACTATACTTCCCAAGTGAAAAGGGTATTATAGGGCATGGAATCGTTTCTTCAGCTACCTAGCACACACACAGAGAGGTTCAAGTTCACTGACTTGTCAGCACAGCTGCTACAGGTTGGACTGGCGCAACTTTGGAATCCAAGAGGTAAGCGTCACTACTCCTCACTCCCCTCTTTGCCTGCCACTGAAATCAGTGGCACAGGAAAAGTGGGGGCAAGCAGCAGATGTGCTGATAGCCAGCGAGCTCTCCTGGATCCACCCCTTCATGCAACATGATCCAGAGACCAGGCAAGAGGACAAAAGAGCTGCAAAATCTGGGTTCTATTTCAGGCATCACCCTGAACAGAGCACTTGACCAATCTGAGCCTAAGCTTCCTCCTCCATAAAATGAAAATGCTTCTTGTGGCACCCATCTTTGTGAAGGACTTTTAATTCTGGAACCAATAACTGCCAGAGTATCATGAACAGGGTGGACAACAACAACAAAAAAAAACCCAATGATTTTAAAAAAATTGTAATTCAGATTTCTTTGATTTTTTAACTTAAATTATAATTAAATTTTCCTTCTAAAAAATAAACCATCCTCAAATGGAATTTGAACCTATGCTGTGCTAGGTTAAGATACATATTTAGTATTAAACTATGAAAATAAGTACATGCAACAGAAAGGACCAAGGTTGGGCTCAAGACCAGCATAGGAAAATGGAACAACATTCTGTGGAGTGTAGACTAGTCTCAATTTCAACACCTAGAAACTGGAGAAAAAAACCTGCCGATTTCCACCTTAACACAGCTTGATATAAATATTAATCAATTGGCACCGTCGTTCTTTACACAGCATGGTGTATAGTATAGTAACACTGATGAGTTTTGACGGCTGCTGAATCTGACGCACGAATGACAGTCCTACCCACAGGTAGGACACACCCATGCATTAGCAATGCTCTGAATCCAAGCAAAAAAAAAAAC